GGCACGTATATGAAAAGGAATGAATTAGTCTTCTCTTGCAGTTCATCTTTTGCGGTTCTGCTTTGTCAACAGGATGTCTACTCGCGTCCTTTTGGCCACTCTGTCGATTCCTATAACTCCTGAGAGAACTGATATTGCTCGTCTTCTGGACATGGATGGTATCATTGTCGAGAAACAGCGACGTCTGGCAACCCTGTTGGGTCTTCAGGCCCCACCGACACGTTGCAGTCTCATTAACGATATGGTAGGTAGTGGTGTTCCAATGAGCAGCTTTTAAACATTGAGTCTTCATTTTGGACTGTTTCCCTTCTTAGAGCACTGTGCTTAGTTGTGGGACAGCAGTTGAAAAGTTAAAACAGCTTTATGGTTAATTGTATGACTACAATTAGTGTTGGCGTTTCAGATTCACCAGAAGGACTGTTTAGAAATGGTGGCAGTAACGGGAGGCCTGAATGCTGGTGTGCACTGGAGATTCAGCATTGTCCTTTATGTCACCCAAACAACAGATGTCATTTTGAAACTGAGGGGTCTCAAAAGGGTTGTGAGCTAGAACTATTTTTTCCCCTATTCTAAGGTGTATAATTAACTGAACCAAGTGCTTATTTTTCTGTTCTAAATGTGTTTTGGTTAAGCACAGGTCAGATAGCAAATAGCAGACTGTAAGGACCTAAGTGATTCGGAAAACTTCCTTGTGTTTAATTTGAAGGGAAGCTAGATTTATATATCTTCAGACTTTCCCAGATATTCATAAACAAATTAGACATTCAGACATAGGTATTTTCAGAGGAAGTTTGAATTTCTTGCAGTCATTTGCATGTTTGCCTAAAACAAGCTTCATTTTACAATTTATGTTCATTTTTCTTCTGATATCTCTCCAGTTTGTCTTAAAACCACAATTTAAAACTTTGGAAGTTTACTTAAGAACTGAGATGTGTGGATGTTAGTTTGGATGTTAGCCTACATCCATGTAGTAGGACTTGTGTCTTAGAAATGACTAATTTCTAAGAGAGGGTGGTACTCTGGTCTAAATATTTACCTTGTTTGGGTGGTTTTGTCTCCTTTTTCCATTTCTGAATGCAGACAGTTAAGTGCTGTAGTGTAGAGTTACTATCTCTGCAATTAAGAATGGTGTAGTAAAAATTAAGTAATATTTTGTATTAAAAGGTAGATGTGGTGCCTATTTAACTTCTTGAATATAAAATTCTTAAAACAACTATTTGTTAATATTGTATCTTCGGGTTTTTTTTGTTGACTGTAGGTGAGGTTCAACGTAGTGCAATATGTTGTTCCAGAAGTGAAAGAACTTTACAATTGGCTTGAAGTGGACTTTCACCCACTCAAGTTATGCAGCCGTGTCAGCAAAGTAAGTTTTGTAGCTCTCTGTGTGTGTGTAGTAGTTGGTCCTGACTAATAGTCAGGAATATGGATTTGTGGTAAATACAAACCAGCTTTTTCTGTTGCCAGAATTTTCAGTGGTAGGCTTTATTTGCTTAAATTCCGTTACAATGACACGTATGTAACATCTGATATACATAATACACCAGATCATTGAAATGGAATGAAAATTCATTCAGGTCTCTAGGGTGCTATTCAGCTGGACCCTATAAAGGTGAAGAGTTTTGGGAACGTATCAGGTGGTCTTTGTGGTGGAGATGATACCGAGTTACATCTTTTTTAAACATGCAGAAATGAGAAAACTGTGCACACATGCATATGCATGCAAGTGGGTTGTGTGGGAAGTGGAAAAATACACCAATGACTGTTTTTACAATTAAAATGTAAATTATTGGGAGGTAAAATAACGGGAGAGCCTGTTGATAAGGTTGACGTAGATTGTGCAATTGATGAAGCACATCATGTTCTTTTTCTTTTATAGTAGGAACAAAGATATTTGAGGTGCTAAAAAGAACTTGAAGGTAAATTAGCAGTGTGGTAAATGTTGCCAGTACTGTCAGTCGCCTTCATACAAAAAATGTTAGCTGTCCAGTATAAATAAAGTATGAAAAGATACACTTCAGTAAAACAGTGTGGTATCTGGACAGAAGTGCTGTTGTTTCATGAGCTGTAAAACAGAAATACTTAAGAACCTTTCTTCATGCTTTAATGTTGATGTTTTTAAGTGTTGGTGCAGATAGAGTAACTTTTCAGAATTTTGTTAGGTTCTGAACTGGGTGAAAGACCAAGCTGAAAAGGAACCTGAACTGCAGCTGTATGTTCCTCACCTGCAAAACAATACCATTCTTCGCCTTCTGCAGCAGGTATGAATAAAAGAAAATGTGTGTTCACAAGCATACATAACTTAGAAAATACTTTGGAAGGATGTTAAGTTGGAAACTTCCATGCTGAAGTAATTTTTCCATCAAGTAGAAGACCATTATGATTTTGAAATACTTTTTTCCAGCATATAATCTCTATCTTCAGGTTGGTACATCATTTAGGTACAACCATAGTAGCTGTACTTAATAGTGGCTGCATGCAGTGCCATAATCTCTTGCCTAGATTTTCTTCATTACAAATCTCTGTCTTATTTAAGGTGATTCATTGCTTCTTAAAACTTTTTATGGAGTAAGACTTGGGTGGGATGTTTTGGTTTTTTGTGTTAAGGTTGCACATTTCATTGACCTGCTTTCGTTACAAGTGATGAGCAGTGTTATTTCTGGTGTGCTAAAGAAATAGTTGAAGGCTAATTAGCAGCATAGCTGTATGTAGTTACTGCTGCCAGTCTCCTTCATACAAAGAAGCCATTCAGGAATGACATTTAGTCTTAGGTTAGGTTTGAATACAGTACAGAAATAAAATCCTGAAGGAGTATTAGCACTTGTATTAATACATATACATTCATTTATTGACCATTTAGTAAGTTAAATTTAGAGCCTGTACAACAACTTTTATTTCTGATCTATTTAATAAGGAAAAATACCTAATGCTTCTGTTCACATGCAGGTGGCTCAGATTTACCAAAGCATTGAATTTTCTCGTCTGGCTAGCCTGGTTCCTTTTGTTGATGCTTTCCAACTGGAACGTAGTATTGTTGATGCAGCCAGGCATTGTGACTTACAAGTAAGTGCTGTAAAAAGATTTCTGTGAAGTGATGTGTGGGTTCATGTGTATTCTGTTGGATGAAAATGAACTTGTTGATTTAGGTCAATAACCCTTAATGTAAGTCCAGTAGAATTAAAAATTGAAATAAAATTTACTGAAACTTGCTCTGTGAGCCCCAGTCATTTAGTCCAGAGTATCCTGAAGCAAGTCTAACAAACAGGGATGTGAATTTCTGGCTACACTGAATTAGTTGTGCAAGGCTGAAGAACTGGCAGTTGCTGATGTTGGGTTTTGTCTAACCAAGTGACTGCAGTAAAACACCAGTGTCTGAAGTGTGCAGTGTTGTCTGAGATAATTCCAGTTGCTGTTGAAGATGGCATTGTTGGTAAAGTTGTCTGTATTGAATGAATGAATGACAACCTCTAATGAAAGGTTTAAATTGGTGATAAGATACGAGTAGTTTTTAGTTGTGATTGCTTGGTAATTACCCATTTAGGTTTTTAGATAACTGAGCTGAGTTGATTCATGCAGGTTAACACACAACTTTAGCTTATAATTTAAATGTGTTGAAATTGTCTGCATTAAAGTCAGGCTTCTTGTTTCACATATTTCTAATAAGGAGGAAGAGGCAAGAATGATTTGTCTTGCAGTGTGCATTTCATAGAATCATTAAAAGTTCAACTTCTTCCAGTGATTTCTTTATTATTATTATTATTTTTAATAAACCATGAAATTTAAACAAAATTTTATTCACAGTGCTATTTTTTCTTCTACTAATTTGGCATTTCTCATAGTCTGGTATAGCTAAAATTTTTTTTTAGAAAGTAATTTCTGCTTAGAGCTTCTGTTGACTCATATTGGTCATAGGCAGAGCAACAGAGAAATTATGTAAAAGTAATAGATAACACAAGCCTTTTCCTTGTATTTTTTTTGCAAAGGTTCGTCTTGATCACACTACCCGGACACTGAGCTTTGGCTCGGATTTGAATTACAGTACTAGAGAAGATGCTCCCCTGGGCCCTCAGCTACAAAGCATGCCTTCTGAGCAAATCAGGAATCAATTGACTGCTATGTCCTCAGCTCTGGCAAAGGCTCTTGCAGTCATTAAGCCTCCTCACTTACTGGTAAGTCATTTTAAGTCTTCTGAAAATGTTGATAAACTCTGACATTCCCCCAAGTGATTTGTGTGATGTTTATCTGTTGCCCTTCTGTAGCTTTTTGTTATTTTATGGTTGTCTGGTCAACATATTATCAGTTCTTACTTTCAGAAGGGTGCTGCTCTGTTTTTCAGAGCTTTGTGTTAACAATCTGATATAATTTGATAGTAATGATGGGCTGCATTTATGTACTTGTGGATTAAGTAGAAACATAAACTATTAACACTTTGTGTTGACTCTGACATTTTAATGAACGTGTTTTCTCAGATTAGATGTGCCTTTTTGTTTCATTTTTTTTCAGCCTGGTGGTAGTCAGCTATTTGTCATCATAAAGAAGAACCAATCATTCTTAAATGCACTCAACTAGTTAGTGTTTGTAACTGAAATCATGTCAGAATGTACACAAGAGGCCTGAGTTTATATATATCAGATTTAAGATAGACCAAATAATAACTTGCCCATAGATGAGCCTACAGAGTTGGGGTTTGTTTAAAGTTTTGCATGCGTTTTTGAAAATCCCAAGAGCCTGCTTTCTTAATTCTTCCTGGAGAAACTGCTGTTGTGAAGAACCTGGAATGTAACTTCATAGTGGAATCTAAAAACATGAACAAAAGATCCCACAACTCAAGAACTGACCTGTCTTTGTCACTCCCTGTTCTTCTCACTGGGGCTGTTGGCTTCAAGGTCGGACTCATCGATGAGCTCACATTTCAGGTTCTCCAGAGCCCTTTGGAGCAAGGTGTAAATCACTCTCGGATTTCCAGCATGATTTGGTTGTGGCAAGTTAAACTTTCACTTCTCTTAAAAGAGCAGTGGTAATTTTTGTTTTGCTTTATCTTTATGAAAGAAAGATTTCCTAGCAAACATAGCAAATTAATTTTTGCTTATGGAAAAAGCTGAAAGCAAGATGTGCATATTAATTAGACTCTTTAACTGCGTTGAAATATTAAGTAATATTCTTAAAATATAAACATGCAAAGTAGGACTGTATCGTGACACCTAATAGCAGCTTACTTAGGTTAGCTTGAACACACATTAGCTGTTTTATAGTGTTTTAAGATCAAAATATTTCCATGTAGGTTTTACCCTGAAAAGGTTTTATTATGGGTTGATATGAGACAAATGGATTGTTGGTTTGAAGGAAAAAACTGTGCTTTATTTGTACATCCATAGATAGAAATGACAGGTAGTTTTATACCCGACATATCAGTATAATTAGCTAAATAAGACATAAATGCTAGTAATTATGCTTGTAAAATTAGGGTGCAGTATCAAGGTTAATATCAATCTGTGTGGTTGGAGAGGCTGCAGGACAAGTTGATATCCTTTTTTCCTTCATTATTCAGATTGAAGCTTTTTAACTTTTTTAAAGTGCTTAAAAAGTCTTTAATTTCTGTCAAATTTGTTATAATTTACAAATTTGTTAAATTAATCTAAAGCATTTAATTTTTTTTGTTTCTGGCACCTCCATTTATTTTTAACTGCTTGCAGATCTGCAACAAAGTATGGATGTTCCAGTGTTTTCGTTGAATGCCCTAGAAGTGACAGATTACTAAAAATACCTCTGAGCTAGCTCACGTTTCAAGAGCAGCATGACTGAGGGAGTGTAGTGATAGGGCTGCAGTGTTTTGCTGCTTGCTGGACTGATTAAGATGGGCAGCTCCTTGAGCTGGCACAATGATACCTCTTTGTGTGTGCAGCATGAACCTCTGCAAAGAACTGTATGGGTTCTCCGGGGGGGAGTGGTGTGAGGGTGAGAAAGCTACTTAGAGAAGAGTCTATATGCTAGTCTAGAAGTCTAGTGCTTTTTATAATTTAATTAAAATGGTTTTATAGACAATGTTCATACCTAAATTGTTGACTCAGCAGTTTTTTATCATCTCACAGCTAGTGCTTTGTGTCAGTTAGGATATTTTTCTCTTACGTTGGCTCGTTTGGAAAAAGCCCAAACTTTAGAAACAAGGGAGCTTTGGTGAAATACAGTACGTGTGGTGCTATACCTGCTAACACATGCAGAGACAAACAAGATTGACCCTGCCACCTCCCTTTCAGTTAAATATCAGTAATGTAGGAGTGTGCAATATTTTTGGACAGAAAAAAGTGTTAAATTCTCATACTTAAGATGTGTTGCAGAATTGTCTTTTGCAGACAACCTTATCCACGTGCACGTTGTTCTAGTCAGTTGGTACTACCTTGTTGTGCCACTTGGATGAGTGGTTAGATTTACCATTGCAGTTGTAGTTCCACACAGTTATCAAGTTTGGAGAGTAAAACTAACTCTGGGTTTTCTTTGAGAAGCATTTGCTATGCTTTCTGCCTTTTTAAAGAGATGTTATATACCTCATTGTCTTATTCTTAATTTAAATTCAGCAAGAGAAGGAAGAACAACATCAGCTGGCAGTCACTGCCTTCTTAAAAAATTCAAGGAAGGAGCATCAGCGTATTCTTGCACGTCGTCAAACTATAGAGGAAAGAAAAGAGCGCCTGGAAAGCTTAAACATTCAGCGTGAGAAAGAAGAACTGGAGCAGCGTGAAGCAGAACTGCAAAAGGTCCGGAAAGCTGAAGAGGAGAGACTGCGCCAGGAGGCCAAGGAAAGAGAGAAGGAGCGTATCCTGCAGGAACATGAGCAGATCAAGAAGAAGACTGTTCGGGAGCGCTTGGAGCAGATTAAGAAGACTGAACTGGGAGCCAAAGCATTTAAAGATATTGATATTGAGGTAGATAACTTCCTATTGAAGTTTCGAGTTGCTTTTTTTTATGCTTTTGGTGTTTGGTTGTTGGGCTGCCTGAATGTCATGTCCTTTACTAGTTTTATACTGGTCTAATAAATAGTCTCTTTCAAAAATGAGACAGGCAGTTTGACACTTCAGTATTTAATTTGCTCAACAGCGCAAGTAAATCTTAATACTGAGTTTAGATAGGACCTTTTTTTACCTGGAAGAATCAAATCCAGCTGGTTTTTTTTTCCCCCTTGTTGTTAAGCAATATCTGAATTACAGAATAAACCTCCAGATTCCATTTTGTAGTACCTGGACTGTGTCTCAATAAAAATCAAGATAAAAATGCTTTAGATAGCTTGAAAAATAAAATGCAAATTACCCAGAAGAAAGGAAAAGAAACTGAGAATGTTTCTGAAGCAAATTAGTTTAAAAGTTAAGGGGAAAACTGCAGAAAAGCTTAACTAAAGAAAGAAACAAAGCATATTTTTAACAGAGAAAATGTTTATTTTATTGTGTATTGATAACTGTACTTGGTTGTAGGATCTTGAAGAATTAGATCCTGACTTCATTATGGCTAAACAAGTTGAACAGCTGGAAAAAGAAAAGAAGGAACTTCAGGAACGTCTGAAGAATCAGGAGAAAAAGGTACAAAGTAGGAAGAGTACAAAACCATGTCTATACGGTGCTTTAGTTGGTGTTTGTGAACTCCCATATTGAGACATATAGATACAGAGATACAGATAAAAAAATGTGGGTGTTGAAAATTTTATTGTATGAAAGTGGAAAAAGGTACATGTGTAACAAACCAGCTGAATTTCTATCATCATTGCACAGATCTGTTCTAATTAATGGAGCTGATTTGAAAAAGCACCCTTAAGCTCTATGTAAACTGAGTCTTAATTGTGAAGACTTGTAATTGGAAAATGTTCGGAGAAGATTAAATGTTCAGAGAAGGTGAGGCCATTACAGAGAAGCTGAATTAATTAATTGTATTAGTCTTTCTAGGTGGCAGAATAAGATCTGCCTGAAACTGGGGTGGTTATAAAAGTGTGAGGAACATGTTGTCAGAGTAAATAGAAATACATAACCTGGGCAAGGTGAAACTCACCCAGGACTTCCAACTGTATTAAAGAATGAAACAGGTTATATGGTAACAGTTGGTAATTCAGTTCACTTAAAACTGGCTTGATACTAGAAATTGGCAAGTTAATTGAAAAGGTTCCAGTGAGGATTTTTTTATGCTCATTCTGAGCAAAGCAGCACAAAAATAAACAGTAAAATTAGTAGTCACCTGGGTAAATATAGTCTGCCCAGAAAGGTCAGCATAGCTTCTGTAAAAGAATTGTAAGCCAGGGCTTCCTCTTGGAGTTCTCTCAAACTGTCAAAGCAAACATAAGAGTAAGGGTGGTTCTAGTTGGTTTAACTAAGTTGGATTTTCCAAAAAACTTTTCACAGAATTCTTCCCCAAAGAACACTTAGCAGCTCTGGGGTAAAAGGAAGAGTCTTTGAATAAAGCTCAGTTTACATAGGTATGGAGTACCCTGTGTAGAGAAAGCAGTCTTTAGCTGTACATGTTAAATGCTGAGCTCCAAACTTAACATTCCTAGTCAGCAGTGAGAACTTGGTGGTGTTCTGCATCTTGAGCACTGTGTGCAGATCTGGACTCTTGATCTCCAAAAGGATGTGATTGAACTGGAAGTTTGAGAGGAGGCCAACAAGAATTATCAATGATGTGGGTTGGCTTCTGTGTCAGAAATGTCCGTGTAAATTAGTACTCCTGTGGCTAAAAGACTTCTGGAGAGAGGATGTGGTAGGAGTCTAAAGAGCGTGCCTGTTGTAACAGCTGACGACGGGGAGCAGCTGTTCTTGCACTGACTGCAAGGAACAGTGAACCAGGAAGCATCAAATGGAGCTTTAGGAGCCACATTCTGAACTATTTGTAGGCAGAAGTTGGATTTTCATGCTGAGAGCCACAGACACACAGGAGTTCTTTCCAAAGTACATTGTTGTATATGAAAAGCTTTTTTGAGTTCAAAAGGACAAGAGGAGAAATCCGTCAATACCTACTAAATACAAAAAAAAAAAGCTTCAACTCAGGAAATGCTGGGAGCTGAAAACTGATGCTGCTGAGAGAGCATTGTGTCTGAGCCTGCCTACGCTCGCCTCCTTGCCTAGGAGTGCATTTAGCTGCCAGTGGTAGAGGCAGGTTCTTGGTGAAGTGGACCTTTGACGTGGTCCAACACGGTTGTACTTAAATAACAATAATATGTTGGATATATTGGAGAAGTCTCCAGATAATTGGGGTTTTCTTTGGTGGATGGTGGGTGCTGAAGGTGCTTCCAGATTTGGTCTTTGCAATATGACATGCTCAAGGTATGTTGTCTTTATTTAGATCGACTATTTTGAAAGAGCGAAGCGCTTAGAAGAAATTCCTTTAATAAAGACTGCGTATGAGGAGCAAAGAGTGCATGATATGGAGCTGTGGGAGCAACAGGAAGAAGAAAGGGTAAGAATTTTTTGTTCAGATAATAAAATCTATTAGCAGTGAATGAAAAATAGTGGGTTTTCAACTGACTTTTTTTTCCCCAGCTAAATCCAAAGCAAGAAGGGAAACAGTTGATAAGAAGAATGAAGCGTTAGCTTCGCAATTTCGTTGTGCTAGTGGACAGCAGTATCTTCTGTCTAGGATCTGAAAAAGGAAAAGATAATTTCTCTTTCTTGTGGCTAAGGGAGATTGAATGCAAATATATAGTAAGATTTTACTTTGTAATGCTTTTTATATTATCTGTTTTTTAGATCACCACTTTGCAGTTGGAGCGCGAGAAAGCCCTTGAGCATAAGAACAGGCTCTCAAGGATGTTGGAGGATAGAGATTTATTTGAAGCCAGGCTCAAAGCATCACGACGAACAGTTTATGAGGTACACGAGATAATGGCATTTTAATAAAATATTCCCCTAAAGTGAAGAACTAAACTTGTGACCCAGTGAGTCTTCATGAAAACAGGGAACAAATTAGTACCTAGAATGGCTCAGAATTTTGGAATTGTTTATTTTCTGCTTTGACTAAAAAATATAAAAAGTCCTTTCACCCATTCCTAGATATTATTATTTAAATTTTTTGACAACTTTTGGAATAGCTTGTATGGAAAATAAAAGATAGGTAAATTATTTATTGCAATGCAGCTGTTACTAAGGGGTCATTGAGTAGCATATGAGCAGCCAACTGTATCTGTACAAGGACTTGAACTTACTACAGTGAATAACACTGACAATTATTGAAGCCAAGAAGTAGATAGAAGTACTTGTCTATTTTTTATATATATATTTTTGGTTGAATCTGGAAATTATTGTGATAGTCCAAGTATTTGGAATGTCAAATTATGTTTTTTATGTTTGCAAAATTTAATAACAAATCAGACCACGAGGGCAGGGAAAGAACTGTGCCTTTGTTTCTTGCTCTACATTTTAAAAAGTCTACATTTACTGAGGCTGTTTATAGCTTTGATTATTTGGCTGTGTTGCAGTAAGAACTGGTTTAAAATTTAAAAAAAGGGCAAAAGAGGTATGTTAAAATAAGTTAAGTAACTGCATTTGATTCTTTGCAACAGTATAGGTAATGTTAGGTGATGTATTTTAGGTACAGGTAAGCTATTATTCAGGTAACTAGTTCCTTGAAAAAGCAGATGAAAGACTAAAATTGTGCATGCTGATTGTCTGTCTACTAAGGAGGAGTGTATTTCCTTACACAAAATTTATTCCAGAAAAGGCTGAAATGGCAAACCTGTAGTTGTTTTTCAAAGTTAATGCGTTGCAGTTGGTTTGTGTTCCTGTGCAACTTTATTTAGCAATTTGTGTGTCACAGAATCACAGAATGTCAGGGATTGGAAGGGACCTCGAAAGATCATCCAGTCCAACCCCCCTGCCAGAGCAGGAACCTAAATGAGATCACACAGGAAGGCGTCCAGGCGGGTCTTGAATGTCTCCAGAGAAGGAGACTCCACACCCTCCCTGGGCAGCCTGTTCCAGGGCTCTGTCACCCTCACTGTAAAGAAGTTTCTTCTCAAGTTTAAGCGGAACCTCCTGTGTTCCAGCTCACACCCATTGCCCCTTGTCCTACCATTGGGCATCACTGAGAAGAGCCTGGCTCCATCCTCCTGACATTTGCCCTTTACATATTTATAAACATTAATGAGGTCTCCCCTCAGTCTCCTCTTCTCCAAGCTCAAGAGACCCAGCTCCCTCAGCCTTTCTAGCTCTTAAACATCCCAGTTCTGGAGTTTTCATGTGTATTCTTTGTGTTTCAGGATAAACTCAAGCAGTTCCAGGAACGGTTAGCTGAAGAGAGGCGTAACCGTTTGGAGGAACGCAAGAAACAACGCAAAGAAGAGAGGCGCGTTACTTACTACAGAGAAAAGGAGGAAGAGGAACAAAGATTACGAGAAGAACAGCTGCTTAAAGGTATAATCAAGAACATGATTATTTTACCCTTGGTATCCTTGACCCATTCCAGACGTGTACGCCGATAACTTCTGGTTTCTGTTTCAAAATAGTGGGAAAGTCTTCACTTTCAGTCAGTGGAGAAGACTGTGTTGGTTGCTGTTAGACAATGTACCTTTGCATTTTGCCTAATTCAGCTTCTGAATGCTTACCCATAGAGAGAAGGTAAAGCTTTACAGAAGGAAGGAGAAATGAAAGCAAATGAATTCTTCCTGCCCTCCCTTTCTCTCACACATAAATAAAGGAGGAGATAAAGTAAGAGAGACTAATGGCTGAAATCAAAGACTGAATTTTTTCATTTAGTTTGAGTTCTGGCCACTTGTTTGTGCACTTCTTAAAGAGAATAGAAAGAGAACACTAATGTCAGATCAAGAACTCTAGAACTGTAAGTGAGTCACACACCTTTCTTTGTGAATTACTTTGTCTGGTAGCCCACTACAAGGCTTCAGAAGAGAAGAGGTGATAGGCATCCTGTAACATAAATTTCTGTCCTGCTTGTCACTTGGTGGATGAAGATTTTATGTATCAGAGTTCATAATTGTGCAATATTTAAAAACCAACAAACAAAAAGCAAGCAGTCCTGCCTATCAAATTTCTGGCACTGCTAGCTGCTACTTGTCTAAGGAAGGGATCCTCTGCCATGCTTGAGGTGGTTACTGGTATTTTAGCTGGCACATCTGTGGCCTGTACAGCAAATAAATGTACAGGTATTGGAAGATTTTCTTTCCTTTCTCACTAGCTGTTGTTCAAGATGTCACATTAATGGATGTATGAGAGTTCCTTTTCCTATTAGTTTTGAGTTAAGATACTTCCAGAAAACAAGTTCTGTGGTTAGTTAAACACATCTTGTGAAATGCTTGGGTTTTTTTTAATTACTATTTTAAATAAGCAGGCAAAGGGGAGAGATTGAATTTTGTAACAAAAAATAAAACATAAAATTTTGTAATTTCTGTGGTTACAGCAAAGTAACAGAATTTATATTGGTAATATTTATGTTTGCAACTCTGTAGAGCGTGAGGAGAAGGAACGCATTGAGCGTGAGAAACGTGAGCAGGAACAGCGCGAGTACCAGGAACGTGTCAAAAAACTGGAAGAACTGGAGAAGAAAAAACGTCAAAGAGAAATGGAAATAGTGTCGTCGAGAAGAAGAAAGGAGAGGTCTGGATGACCCATTTTCAAGAAAGGTAGGTAATACCTGCAGGTTTGTTTTCTTTTTGACTGCTTCTTCTTGTAGGTTGTTTGGAAGAAGATGGTGGCATTGGAAAATTGTAGGTTAATTTAAGTTGTAGCAGAAGTGGTTAATTTAATAATTAAATTGTTGTCACTTAGTATCAGCTCATTATCAGGATCTGGAATCTGTAGTTTGGTAACAAAGTAAAGCAAGTAAACAGCTTGGAGATCTTAGTAGTTTAAAAATGAAATAAGTAAAGACTAAAAAGAATATTGAATAAAATTGTCTTTGACACAGAAGAAGGAAAGCTATATTGGAAGCAAGTGTAGTGACTCATGCCAGCGTCAGGAGTTAGAGTAGATATTGAAGGAACAGACTAAACATAAAAGCATAGTTTTATAATTTGTAAGAAATAATCAATAATATAAATCATAGAAACAAGAGGTGTGTACAACTTCCTGATTACAAGTTAAGTACTGGGGAAAATCATTATCCTCATCCAACAGGAAACAAAGCAAAAGTTATTTGCAAATAAATGTTTAACGACTAAAAAAAATGTAACTGAGTACCACAAACCTCCTGTGCTCCCGCTTTTTCAGAGCTTAGCAATAAGAAAACTAATTTTAAATTTCATCCACCATAGCCATTGTCTTTGTTTAATGCATACTGCACTGAATAACACTGTGAAGATGAGTGATCAGAGCTTGTATAAATTGTTTTGATAATCTATCAGGTAAATAATCATCACCAGTACTTTTCCACACGCTATGCTCCTAGCCATGGGCACTTGATTATATGGAAAATTGGACTGAAGTTCATAGAACCGTAGAATGGTTTGGATTGGAAGGGACCTTAAAGATCATCCAGTTCCAACCCCCCTGCCATCAGCAGGGACACCTTCCACTAGACCAGGTTGCTCAAAGCCTCATCCAGCCTGGCCTTGAACACTTCCAGGGAGGGGACATCCACAACTGAGATGACATCTGAGTTCTGAGAGAGATCTGTACTGCTTGAAAAATGACCTTTGCAGTTTTGGGATTCTTTCTTTGCTCACCCTTGTTTGTTGGGGTGATTTCAAAAGCATTTAAGTAGACACTCATGGAGTAGTGGATATGAAAGCTCTTGTGCAACCTGTGTATTTCCCCCTGTTGAAGCGTAGACTTTGACAAACAAAAACACTTTTCAAAGAGCAGTTTAAAACCAGAATACCCTTTTATAAAGAAGTTGTGTCATTATGTGAAATCTTTATATGGTTTACCTAATTTGCTTCTTGTGGTGGAATTAAGGAACAACTGTGTTAAAAATAGTTGAAATTATATGTCTTTATCCAGCAATGGGGAGAGACTTTTTACCTTTATTTAAAAAAAACCCCAAACTTGTGATTGCTCTGCCTGCCCTGCATCTAAACAACCTGTGTGAATCACAAATACCTCACCTGCTCTGTGCATGAGGTACCCAGAACAAAATGATCTCTGCTACAGAGAGCTTTCAGTTTATTCAGTTACATTTTCTGATCTGATTAGAAAGCACAAAAACAAATAAGTTTTAAAATTAATTCCCACTGTCATTAAGCAGCAGGAAAGTGAAACTGTTAGAACTACTTTTTTGTGTTAACAGGTGGTAGTTCTGGCTCGCTGTAGCTCTTGTTCATACACTTGTTCATAATCTTTTAAATGTGTTTGCATATGTCCTACCCTACTAGTGGCACAAAGGGAACTATGTTATGTTGTAAACTGCCAGAAACAATAAAGTTGGTCAGTTAAGTTACTCAAACTTCTGATAGTTCATTACTGTCTGCAGTGCAACGAGTGAGTTTTTAGTGACATGTTATGCTCTGAAATGAGTAAATGACATGTTGAAAATCATCATTTTAAAGTATTCTGAGGGAATGTTCCTAATTTCTTTTGACATACAGGAATCTCGTTGGGGTGACAGGGAGACTGAGAGCTCCTGGAGGAGAGGTGGGGAACCAGAATCTGAATGGCGACGAGCACCACTGGAGAGGTAATCATGGGGTTACTAAGCACCAGTTGTATTGGGCTCAAGGTGTGTAGGCTTCCTTTTTATTGCTAGTGCTAAAGCTGCACTAACTGAGTCATATCTCATGCCTTTACATCTCTGGAAGTTACCTTCTATTAAAAAATAGCTTTGTAAGGATCTTGGAATGTGAGAGAGGTTTTATCTTGAAACTGGATTCAGATAACATTCCTGTTTTATCTAACTTAGATACGTGGAAGTTAGCAAACATCTTCTGCATCTGATAAACAACTTGCTTACTTGGTTTCTTTTTTTAATTAAAAATTTCTGTCCTATTCAAACATTGGTGTCTGTTGTGTAAGTACAGAATGGGGAATTGCAGGGTTCCTGCATGATGAAACTGTTTTGAGATTTTCCATTTAGAAAACTGATAGTAATATATAAGAACAGCAAAGTCAAAATTCAGAGTCTTAAACTATTGAAGTCGTAGAGTGAGTCACAGAGCAGAAAATATGTGCCATAAACTAAAGCAAAATTCTGAAAGACTGTATTGAACAGAGAAGGAAGGATTTCTGAAGGAAGAATATTTTGAAGGTACTTTTGCACATCTGAAGAAAAACAAACAAACCCCACAACAACCCCCCTCCCCCCAATAAATAAAACCCAAACAAACACTTGTTCATGTTTAGGTATTTTGGGGGGTTTGGATATGTTCACTAATAATGAAGACTGTTTATACAGTTGTAAAAAACAAGTTATTTAACAATTTGTCCATCCCTCTGCTACACTACAAGGATGAGCTGTATCTAAAATATTTCTGATGATGCACATCTAGTTGTTCTTAAAAGTCTGTGGTGATGGCAATACCACTGCGTGCTCCAATTGGCAATATGTTTTATTGCTTAATTAGCCTTCCAGTAGATAGATTCTTATAAATGTCTAACCTTAATTTCCAGTGCAGCAATTTAAATCCATTACAGCTTACTCTGACTCCAGTGGAAGCAGATTAATTTACTATTTCTCTCTCTAGTAATTTCTTCTAACCTATTTGAAGAGTATGATCTTTCAGTAAACAAAATAGCCTGTCAGGCTTTCCTCAAAAGCTGTGTTGCCATTCTTGGGAGTGATCCAGTTTCTTGTGAATTGCAAAATCAAGAATTGGATGAAACTGCTGGGTGAAGCCTTTAACTGTTAACATATTGCAGAAGTGTTTAATGCATCTCTTTGTATGCTTCAATGTGACTTTTTTTTTCCACAACAGAATGATACAGGTGACCCACATTCATTTTTGAATCATTATAGCAAAGAGTTTTTCTGAATAAGTATTGTCTTAGTCATTTCTCATTCAACTTTTGTAGAAACTGACCCCAGTGACTGCTGAGGAGTTAAAACCAGGCGTACTTTGGATTAATATGTAGCATGGTTTTGCCAGGAAAGTTTGGACCAGGTGATCCTTGAGGTCCCATCCAACCTGGTATTCTATGATTCTATGTTTGGTAAAACTTTACTTCAATATATTCCTTTTAATAAAAGAGAGAAGAATACTAAAAGGAAATACTGATAGCAGTCAAAATTAATACCTCTCTGGAATTCTAAGTAAAACAGTGTTTCTCAATTATTTTCTTTTTGCTGAACTTAGGAAATAGCAAAGTAAAAGTGATGATGCTCAGACATAATTGCAGAAGAAAGGTGCAATTCTGTATTCTTTAGTAGCCACTAGTCTACCTTCAGCTGGATTTTAACCCTAAAGGGAAAATGTATTGGATACAAAGACAGCAGTGCAAACCTGACTGTGAGTGAGTGAGGTAATTCCAAAATGTGTTTGTGAATTCTGTATTTGCTGTTAAAGGCAGTCACAGAGGACAGAGCCTCAGATTGAACTTGCAGCACGTATCTAGCTGTAAGTACAGCTCTTGGATATATGCATTTAAAAGTCCTCATGGATGCTAGCAGAAGGAGAGAGACTCTAAAATTTGTCTCACAGACAATTTCTCATGGAAATAGCACAGACCTGGCATACATGCCATGTTGGTGCACAGTCACGGAGCATCCACTTGTACTATGCAGCAATCCCTGGAGTGCTCAGCGTGTTCTCAGGCTTTTCCATACCAGTTACAAGAAAACTTTTTCTTGTAACTTTTTCCAGTTACAAGGAAAAAACAGATTATAGAAAGGCAGAAGGGTCCAGCAAGAGCTGCCTGTCTCATGGACAGCTGGTGGCTTCGTTATGAGTTATAACTAGACTGCAAGTATTTGCTTTGTTTCTTCACTGCAGAAGAAAGGTAGTTATCATCAGAAACAAAAGAGGAAAATGGAAACTAATGATCTTCCTTTGGTAGACACGGTAAAATTTTATAAGGAAGAGAAGAAAGTCAATCCTGACATAAAAAAAAAATACTACAAATATTACAGTTGCAGGAAAAAGAGGTTATGTAGGAGTGAAATGAAAAGCCAGTGAGTTTAGTAAAGAAAGTAATTTTATTGTGGTACCTATTGTTTTTTCTCTAGATCACAGAAAATACATAAAATGCTGTCAGGGACTAGATAGTTACTCGGTGAAACAGTGAAATGACAACTAACAGAGACCTGGTATTCACCACTCCAAGTGGCGGGGCAGTGCTGCAGGCTGTTGTACTTAGCACAGCTCATTATTACTGCCAGGGAGTGCTGTCCCAAAGCATCAACAAATACACTTATGTGCTTATTTATGGTCAAGAAATACTAAACAGCCAAAATGCAGAGAAAAGGGGAGTTGACCTCTATTTTATGTCTCTGTTGTTTGTGCCTGAATTGAAAGATGAGCAAAAAAACAATTCTAAACCTGTAACAGTGGCAGACACTGTAGTGTGAACTTTGCCAGCAAATTTCTGCTGTATTTGGTACAGCTGGCTGTGTGCTTTCAGCTCTTGTAGATCTGTGTGTAGGGTTTTTAGAGGTCATTGAAAAATGGGTTATATAATAGAAACTGGATTGCATTGCTACCAGTGACTGCCATTCGATAATATTCTTAATATTCATGATTCCCTCTGGTTTTAGTCATTTATCAGATGCTGTTTGACTCTTAATTTCAGTAAATTTTTGAAGTGGGAGTTAGGATTTCTATGACAAAAGCTGAAATATGAGCAGTGAAGTTGTCAAATGAGGGAAAAAAAATTTAAAAATGAGGCATAATTTCACCTCCAAGTAATAGTTTAAAAATTAGAGTAGTAATAGTTTAAAAAAGAAGATTTAAAAATCCTAAAACAGTACCTAAGTGTGAATGGATGAAATACTTGTTCATTTGATGAATTTTATCACCATTTCTCTACATGTCTTTAACGTCAAAATAATCAGATTTTTCAAAGGAGAAGATTATCCAATTGTCTAAGTGGAAGTTAACAATCTCCGTGTCTTGTTTTTATCTCGCAGCTCAATGGTAATTGCATTCTCCCCGATTCTTCCAGGAGTAGGAAATAGGCTGCTCACAACTCCTGGAGATTCTTGAGACGCAGAGTTGTTACCAACTGTTGCCTCTTTGTTCTCACCTCTTGGAGTCCCGCGTCTGTTGTTTTGTAGCAAGTCATTGCTGTTCTTTCGTTTACATTTTAGTAGCATAGCAGAGATCTAAACTTGTGGGGTTTTTTGTTTGTTTTGTTTTTGTTGTGGTTGTTTTTTTTAATCCATGTGATTCAACTCCAGGGCAATTTCTCTTCTCTTGCCAAGAAGCAGATACTAGTACGTCTCTCTGATGCATTCTTGTTTGCTTCTTTTTATTGCTGAGGAACTACTTGAGGAAAGTTAATTTCCTGAAATAAAGAAATTAATCTGGTGACGAAGCCAAGGTTTATGGTCTAAATATATGTGTAAAATCCTGTAGGCATTATACTAAATGGTGTGTCCAGAGAACTGCCAAGAGTGGAAGGCTCCAACCCTTGTTCAGCAGTGTCTGATCTTCTCAGTGTAACAAATCCAAACAAATTTCAAAGATGAACTGATGAGTCAGTAGCCCAGGGAAAATGCTCATCAGTTCTGTACTTCCCACGTACATCCTGGCAAGGAGAGTCCATGGAAGCACTGATAGCCTGCCAGAGCCTGGTGTACCCTGCTTGCCATCAGGGAGTAGCAGTGGCTTGAGTAACGAGTTTACTATGCTGTCCTGCCCTATGTAGTTGCAGATGCTTATCAGGGAAAGTATTGCCAGTCTGTGGGGCTGGAACTGTGCCAAAGCCTATGAATAAAGAGATCAGTCTGTAGGGTTGGCAGGTGTGTGAAGAAGGTGAATACTTACGTGATGGTTGTAAGCTTTTTTTAATACTGGTTCTCTGAAACTTAGCTCAAGTTTGTGAGATGAGGCTGGGTGTAGAAACCAAACCTCTCTTGTGTTGCAGCAGATAACCCACCAAGGACTGTCGTTACCCCTTCAAACTGTCGTTCTGAAGGAGATAATAAACTGTTCAGTATTTACTGAAGCTGTGGGGATGGTGACCGACCCCTCTCCCGTAGCAGTGAAGGCAATTAGAACGTGTGCATTTGCAAACTGCAAGCTCTGTAAGTGTGTTTGCAACCACACACCAAGTGGGTTCATTCAGAAATGGCCTCGAGCAGTTTGATAGTGTTGATGTAACATGTCAAGCTTTCCTGGATGTCAACTTCTGCTTTTTCCTCATTCCCTTTGGTTTTATAGAGATTGGCGTCGAGGAGAAGCAAGAGATGATGAAAGATCTTTCCGACGAGGGGATGATCTGCCGCGACGAGGGGATGATCTGCCGCGACGTGGTGCTGCAGAGGAAAAAGAACGTCCAGAATCAACGGAGGACAGGCCACCTAGGCGTGAAGGGGATGAGGACAGGCCACCTAGGCGTGAAGGTGATGAGGACAGGCCGCCCAGGCGTGGATTGGATGAGGACAGGCCGCCCAGGCGTGGTTTGGATGATGATAGAGGGAGCTGGCGGGCTGCAGATGATGACAGAGGTCCCAGGCGCGGGCTGGATGATGACAGAGGTCCCAGGCGGGGGATGGATGACGACAGGGGGCCAAGGCGGGGG